TCAGCCAGCCTTGGTCATGGGCATGCGTGTGCCCAGCTTGGTTCCCCCATCAAGGTCTTCAAGCTGTGACCCAACCCCAACCTCAGCCAGCCTTGGTCATGGGCATGCGTGTGCCCAGCTTGCTCAGGGAGACCTCAGGATGTGAGCCCGGGACCTTCTCACGTGGATCAGCCTTGCAGAGTGTTGCCTTACCCCTGCACTACCAGTGTGTGCAGAACCCTATTCACCAACCCCCCCCTTTAAAAAATTATTTAAATTTGACCAGAAAGGAACAGAGTGAGAGAGAGAGAGAAGGAAAGTGAGAAAACAAGCCACCAGGTCCAGGACTCGAACCGTAGTAGGCTATGTAGAAGTACAGTGCCCTTAACCACTGTGCCACCTGCCAGCCCCTCTATTCCTTTTTAAGGCTCAATAATATTCCAATGTTTAGAGAATCATTTTAAAAAGTCCTTCGTGGCCAGAAGGTGCCACAGTGATGAAGTACTGGATCCCACATGGCCGACTCTGTGGTTTAAGTGCCAGACTCCAGCCAGGCATGCACATGTGTGTGCACATAATCCCAAGAGGAGAACGAGGAGAGGGGATTGTGGCATGGCCACTCTCCCTTCTCACTCTCTCTCTCCCTCTGCCTCTGTGCTGTAAGCCCATGTGCTCTATGGCAAAAATCTTCAACAACAACAAACCCTCCAAATCTCTTAATCCACACAACACTGACAACCCTGGTTATATGCTCATCCCTCCCTGCTGCTTTAAAACAAGTCTTTGTGGGCCTGTGAGCCTTGGCATTTTTATTTGCTCAACGCTTTGGTCCTCAGCTGTCCTCTGCGTGAGTGTGGAGGAAGCACACAGCCGCGGCTGAGCCTCCTAGAAGCTATATTTGGAGCCATCCCGCTGCCGCGTCTTTGCCATCAGCCTCGGCTCTGGTGTTCTTTTGACCTTTGGAGAGGCTCCTGGAGGCAGGCTGCCTTGTAGGGGGATGTCGTCTTCGACTGTGTAACTCATGCGGCAGGCACTGGAGTTACGGGGTTGCACTTAAGCTCTTAAATGGTAACCTTTATCCCCCAAATCAATAGCAGAGGAAGAGGAAGCCAGGAGGCCGTCAAAATGAAGCAGGGCACTTAAGCCTGGAAGCGCTATTTCTTTTGCCCATGCAACTGCTTTTTTCTAAACATTACAAAGCACATCATTACTGAGATGATCGGTTCTTTAGCAGCGACACTTGCCTTTGACAGATGAGCATGTGGCTTGATGTGGTCCCCCACAATTCCTTTGAGGTCACTTGTGCCTTTGGGAGACGACGCGGCACAGGGTCAGGAAGCCTCCAGATCTGGGTCTGTGAGGTGGCGCCTCCCTCTCCTCACCATCAACCCTGACTCCCTTAGTCTCAGGATGAGCAACAGCTGCTCCTGGGTTGGCCTGAAGTTTTGTTCATTGCTGTTTGTTTTTTAAATTTTTCTAGAGGGCACTTGTGCTTGCCAGAGAGACACAGAGAGAAGAAAAGTGAGAAATCACCCCCATGGGGGATGGCCATACCATAATCCCTTCTCCATTTTTTCTCTTGGGATTTTGGGTATGTTTTTCAGGCTGCTGGGTCCAGGACTTGAACTGTGCAGTTGGCCAAGTGGGATCCAGCCATGTCAACCACCAGCTCATGGACTGGTCCTGATGCGAAGTTGAACCACCAACTGCACGGCCTGCAGTCATAGCCACCCCGACCCACAGCAGGTGCTCAGCAAGTAAGGTGCTGTCGCTTTAGCTAGGGGCAGGAGGAAGGTGTGCATGAGTATGCTGGCTGGACCCTGATGAGGTCGACTTCAAGGTGAATCCAAGAGTCTTATGAGTGCAGAGAGACACCGGAAATACCCGATGCAACCGCCCTTTGGTGCAGCCTGCCTCCCGGAGCATCCTGAGTGCTGGCGGGGGAGGGCCTTTTTCCAGGATACCGCCCATTATTAGATGGCAAGAACCTGAAAATAGCTGCCCTGTAACTCCCACCTGCGTGCTGGGCTCTGCCGCTGGCGCATGCAGCAAAGGCCAGTGTGGCAACCTTTTGGGTAACAGCGAAGATATCGGCCTATCTCCCGCCCCCCTGCAAGCCTCTCTTTCCAGACGAATAGTTGTCTCAACATCCCACACATTTCATGGTCTCCAGAAGTCAGACTAAACAACTCTGCCCGTAGCCAGAGGTGGCCCTGGTAAAACATGACTCTCTAAAAGGCTGACTCAGACAGGAGGGTTCCAGGTTCGCATCCTGAACACTCCCTGAGTAAACTGGGAGTGCGTGTGCCCACGATCTGGGGCCAGCTGAGGCTGACAGTGGATCATGGCACTGGAGCCTCGTTCAGAGTGACTCTCTCCCCCACTTCAATTATAGAAGAAATTTAAAAAAACAAATAAACAAAACAAACAAACAAACAAACAAAAAAACATACCGGACACTGAGATGTGGTTTTCTCAAAGTTTGTGCCTGGGGAGACTATCCCTGCCACAGTGACGATTCCACATGCTCCTAAACTTTGGGAACTGCCTCCCCACTCTAGTCTTCCTTGGTTTTACCCAAAAATGGTATTTCTCCAGTTTGAACATCACACTGCCTCCCAATGACTCTGAAATCATTTTAAAAATGAAGTTCATCTTGAACATTGGTTTGAGGTGCCTAAAATATTCATAAACGTGCTGGGAGTTCTTAAAATAAATGAAAGCCGATTTGGTTATTTTTAATAAAAATTTGTGCTTGAGAGAGATAGCTGGAAAGAGAAAGAGAGAGAGAGGAAGGACAAAGCACCCTCAGTGGGACATGGTCCCGAGGTCAGGGACTGGAATTACGTGATCTGATCAGCCATGTGGGATCTAGCTCCCTTAACCATGAGGCCATAGAGCTGGGCCTATTTGATTAATTTCTAAAACTATCTCAGTGAGGAAGGCTTTCTTATTATGATGCAAAACCTGGAAGTCATGAAATAAATTTGTATAAATATATGAAATTAATCAGTTTAGACAAAAATAGTCATATTGTACATTAAAACAATACTATAAAGTCAAAAGAAGTAATAAAATGGGAAATGTTTTTGAACATTTTCTATCACAGTAGGCTGATTTTATTAATAAATGAAGATCTAAAATAGTTGAGAAAAATGACTATAATCTTTCTTTTTTCTTAAGAGAGATTTTTGCTATAGAGCATGTGTGCTTGCCAGAGAGAGACACAGAGAGCAAGAAATCACTCCCTGCAGGGATGGCCACGCCACAATCCCTTCTCCTTTATTCTCCTCTTAGGATTTTGGGCATGCACACACATGTACCCAGCATGAGTTTTAAGCTGCCAGGTCTAGAACTTGAACAATGGTCAACTACATGGGAGTCCAGTGACATAACCATTAGGCCATCTGCTGGTCCCGACTACTACACTCTTATAGAAAAAACAAGGGACATGAATAGATGTTTCACAGAGAAGGAAATACAACCAGCTCCTAGATAAACAAGATAAATTAGATGGATATATATATATATATATATACACACATATACATATATATATAAACAATGGTCAACTACATGGGAGTCCAGTGACATAACCATTAGGCCATCTGCTGGTCCCGACTGTAAAATATTGCAGATGTTGGTGAGGGCGCAGGGATGCTGACACCAGGCCAGCCAGTGGGATGGAAGGGGGCCTGGCGAAGTCTGCTACAATGTCAAGTGCTATGCCCTCCAGCCGGTGTGTCAGATGGCTTGCGTACCTGGTGTGGGATGGGACACCGGTGCTGCCAAACCCCATGGTCCTGACACGGGAACACCCCCAGCGTCCGCAGGAGCGAGGCAGCCCAGTGTGCAGTAAACAGGTTAGGTTAGTGCAGGACAGGTGGGTGTGTGCAAGGAAGACCTGGCGAAGCACACAGGGACCCGTCTTTGGGGAGGGGCTAATCTTCCCTGTACCCGTCTGCTGCGTTTACGCTGTGCTATGCACACGCAGCTATTTTTAAAAAGCGAAAGCCACTTTATTATCACAAGAGACACTCAGAGAGTGAGATGACTTGCATATTTTGCTGGGCCCAAAAATATTCCATGACTTATTTGGCTCTCTTTTGGGAAACTTCCAGTTCGTTGTTTACCCTTTTCAGATGTGAGATCACTAACCTTCTTTAAATGGACAAAATCAATTTTTGCTGTGCCTTCATGCATCTTTGACTCTGCCTCTGAGGCTTGTTAAATATTTAAACTGTTCGATGTTATGGGGTAGAGGGACCAGTGGGTGCTGCAGAAGAGGTGGCGTCCTGCGGGGGAGGCACGGCCTCTGCGAGCCTTCAAGGAAGAGCCGCCAGCCTCTGTCCTAACGTGGCTTGTTCTGGGAGCATCTCTCCTGGGTCTCCAGCCTGTGTTGCTGTTGGCATCCAGACCTACCCAGGGTTTATTTAGGGGAGAACACAGGGCAGAGAACAGCTGCTCATTTGGTTCAGGGGTTTACCATGTCCCAGGAGCTCACTAGCCGCTGGATGTGGGATCGCACCCACTACCCGGCTCGCTTTCTCCGGAGCATCCTGAGCACAGAGCTCCGGGAGTGGGGAAGTATGTGCTCCTCTGCCCCATGGCCGCTGCAGCCCCAGGAGGTCACAGGGCCCAGATGTCACCTGGTGCTGGGGGCAGTGAGCACCGGCGCTTGAGCACGGTCAGCCCGCAGCTCTTCCCTGGTGTGAGACACTTTTGGAATTGTCCCAGACTCAGGCTAGATCCTTGGTGGACATAGACGTGGGACAACTCACCCAAGGTAGTAGCCAGAGCCTAACCCAGCCAAGTGTGGGCCATTGTTCCCGGAAAGGGCCGAGGCAGAGCTTCCATGGTTCAGGCCTCCCCTCTCCCCCGCCTTCTGTTTTGTCTCCTCACAAGTGACAGACAGGACGTGGTCACCCACATCAGCAGTTGTTACAAAGCTCAAGTAAACAGTAGCAGGTGCTGGGTGGACAAGTCTCGCTCAGTGAGAGGAATCACAGGAGAAATCCTTGTAAACCATTTATTCTGAGGATCACGCAGGATCCAGCTTGTCCTGTGGACATTTACTGAGGGGACAAGGGTGAGCGTGGTGCCAGGGCCAGCCATCTGCGTGACACACGGCACAGGAATCACGCTGCCCAGCAGGAGGTGGGCTGTGCCCGAGATGCCATGCCACGATGGCATGGTGTGGGGCTTGTCTGCACCTGGCTCACGGCAGCAATACATTCACTGGACACAGAGTCTGCGTCCAGAAACAGGGGCTCAGAACACAGCGTGTACACGACCTGGCACTCACATGCAGACGTGGCTCACAGCACGGCCACAAGTGCATCCATGGCAGGTTGTGCCTGCACCTGCTCCACCTGGAGGGTTGGCCCAGGCCGCAGGTCTGTGAGGACGTCCTCCCCGGCGGACCCTCCTTCTGCACACAGTGCCCCTCTGTGGGCTACCCCAAGCCCTCCAAGGACCGGAGCACAGACACTGCCCATGACTCTCACACGTCCACACGGGAGGAAGAAGTAAGCATGCCCGGGCTGGAGCTCAGCAGGCCTGCTGGGACTCGGGCCCTGGAGGGCGAGTGGTCCCCGTGGGGCTCCCTGAGAGCAGCCAGGACAGCCTGTGCAGCCTCCCCAGTCTCCCAGGGAGGGTGGTGGCAATGATGGCTGGGGACAGGTGACCGACGTCACAGTAACACAGAAGTCACGGCCCTGAAGATAGAGGAGACAGGACAGGGGTCCACAACTGCCTGGAGCCAAGATGGGGAGGCACCAGATGGGCCCGTGTCCAGCCCTGGTCCTACTCTCTGGTTAGGCACAGCCCAGGACAGGCCAATATGCAGGCTGGGGCCACACGGGCCTCTGCAAATTCAGGGTTTGTGGGCAAGAGGTGCCGCTGGGGGCCACGTGAGGGGGTCACAGCCCCACTGCAGCTCCTCAGGGTGAAATCACGGCCGGCTCAGGAAGGGCCCACAGGGACAGGGCCGAGAACACAGCTGGGCACAGCAGGGCAGGGCACTCGGCAGCTATGAGGCTGGGCTCTTCTGTCTGCTCAGGGAGTCGATGTAATGGAAAATGGCTCCTAGAGCCCAGCTGGTCTCCACGTTGTCAATTTTCCGAGTCAGCTGGAAGAGACAGAGGCAGTGCAGAGGGACCATCAGGCACCTGTGACAGGGGAATGTGGGCAAGCATGTGACAGGGGCAGGGCCGGGGGCTGGTGCAGCTCTGGGCTACTCCTTGGAAGCTGGGCAGCTTGGGTGGCAGTTGCCGGCCCCTCCCCCGTGAAGGGCAGGGTGCCCAGGGCAGCCTCACCTTCAGCTCTGTGGTCCTGGGGAAGCCAAACTCCTGGAGCAACGTACTGATGTAGGTGAGGTCCATGCACGTGAAGGGGCCGTGCCGTGGCTGGGTCTCCAGGGTCCGACACACTGCAGGGACATTCAGCTCCTTCTGGGGAGTGGCTCACTCCCCTGGGCGGGAGTGGCCTGCAGGCCCCAGCCCCACTCCAGGTGACCCTAGCCCCTTGCCCTGGGCATACTCAGAGGCAGCATTGAGGGGCCAGTCCTCCACAGGACTGGACTTCAGGACCAAGAGAGACCTGCACATCTTGCCCCAGGGTCATGGGCCAAAGGCCACTGTCTCCTGGGCCATGTCTCTGCACCCGTGGCCCTCAACCTCCTCCCAGGTGTCAAGCCAAGTAAACCTGGCTTTCTGGACAAAAAGAAAATGACAGAGTTGGCTTGGCATGGCACCACCACTCTTGCTCCCACCCACACCTCCCCAGGGTTCTGCTTGCGACCTTTTCCCACTGCCATCACAGACACCCAATGTCCACGGGACAAAGCGAAGAGACAGGAAAGCTTAAAAGAGAGCCACTTTTGTGGGGGGGACAATGGAGGACGTTGATGGGGAAGCAAAGTCCATCTTCTACCTGCAAATCTTGAGCAGCAACCGACGGCAGAGCACTGACCCCGACCTGGGGCCAGGCGGCCCAGCAGGAGGGGGCGGGGGCAGGAAGCAAGCAGCAGGTGTAGCTGTGGCTGAGCCTCCTGCAACTCAGGGAGCAGCCCTCACCTCTACATCTCAGGTCCACCATGCAGAGTCCCTGGCTTGTCCAGGGTATGGGACAATCCTGAACTTGATGGGACATGCAAGGGGAAACCACCCTTGGGGAGATCCAGGCAGCCATGAGACAGCATCAGAGAAACTGATACTAAGGGAGTCTGTCCCTTGTGACCTTACACGGGAGGAGCTGGGACTGTGGCCCTTTCACTGGTGGGACACCAAAGGCCCTGCCCATGGCCACCATTAGGAGGGGTGGAGCTGGGTGGGGTGACCCTGACAGTATACTCTGAACCCCACATTCATACACTCCTGAATACTCATCTATCTGACAAAATCAAGAACTCAGCTCCGGAAATCTGAGGCCAGTGTCTGTTCACAAGGACTGTGGGGGCCTGTCCCCAGCTGGGACAACTCCTGCTCCCAGCCCCTTGGCCTCCGGACTGGGAAGCCAGCTCACTCACCGTACTTGGCTGCAATCTCGAAGTCTCCGACCGTGAGGCTGCCTCCCTTCTCCGCATCTGGGGGTGAGATGGCACGCCCGTCGGCAGACGCATGGCACACGGAGCCACTGAGGCCCATGGCTGGGCTGGGGCCCGACAGGGCTCCTGGGCACTGAGAGTTGCAGATGCCGGGTTTCCACGGGCCACCGTCCTCACTGACCGTGGTGACTGTGGTGGGCAGGTGTTCCCCATGTTGGTAGGGACCTTAGAGGACCACCCGCACCCCACCCTGCAATGACCCTCAGAGAAAGACCACCTGGACACCACCGACTGTGCACACTTCTCTTTGTGAGCTAAGAAGAATCAAAGGACCTAAGTGGAAATGTCTCAGGACATGGCGCCCAGTAAGCGTGCGTCGGCGTTCCAAGTGAGGAAATAAGTAGAAAAGAGAGTGAGGGGTCTCTGGGTCGCCTCCTGCCCTGACCAGCATATTCCGCACCTGGCTGGGCAGCTCAGAGATGCTGCAGCAGGTCTTCGGGTCCCAGGAGCCAGAAGTGGGACATCACTGGTCTCTTCCAGTGGCTTTTATTGCAAACATCAACCTTCTCGCCTGACCATCGGCAATGCATTCCAACATCCTCAGTTTATTTCATTAAAAACTGTTCTGGTCATCGTCTGCTAAAGTGACTTCACAACCTTCTCAAGAACCTCAGCACAGTCTGACCACCAGCCTCGGCAAATCCCAGGTCCTGTGTTCTGCCCGATGTGGCTCCCTGAGTGTGGGGGGCCAGCCATGGTGGAATCCCTGTGCAGGGGGCAGACCCTCCCAGGACAGGGCAAGGCTGCAGGACTGAGGCCGTCCAAGATGTGAGTCTGCTCAGGGCTCAGTCAACACAAGTCACTCTCCACACATTGAGGATCCAATTTTACTAAGTGGCTCAAAGTAATCATTTAACTAAACATGGGTCTTAGCACTTCCTACTCTGATGGCCAGACGCCTTCCTGTGCTCCTGGCCTCCTAAGTCCCCTCTGTCATCCGAAGGTATAGCACAACACGATGATGCTCCAGCCATGGGCACTCTGCAGGAGAACAAACCACAGGCCCCACTTACCGATGAGGCCGACGTGGGCTGCGAGGTCATAGTAGTAGGAGAAGGCATAGAAATCCACATGCTTCACGTCCTCTGTCCGGTGCACTCTGTCACGAAGGACCTCTGACACTCTGCTGGCGCACAGTGCGTGGAGGCTGGCCTCTGGACAGACAGCAGAGCCCACTATCAGGGACCACACGGCCCTCAGGGCCTCTCGGTGACTTGAGAGACCTCAGCCTAAGTCAGCCAGGCAAGGTGGGGCCAGAAGCTCCCCCCCCCAACCCTGCACCGAGTCGGGGCCAGCAGCAGATCTGTAGGAGCCTCAACCCTGCACTGAGTCGGGGCCAGCAGCAGATCTGTAGGAGCCATGGCCAGGAGATCCGGTCAGCAGGGAGGGACGCCCTGAGTGCAATGGGGCTAGATAGTGCCCAGCCCTGACATGAAGGAGAAGGCCCTCGAACTCTGATGCTGGTCACCCTCCAGTTGGGCCCATGGCCATCCTGACCCAGCCCATGGGCCCTGCTTGCCCTGTATCTGCTCTCGGCCAGCCCTGCCCTGAGCTGGCAGTGGTGTCCCCCACCCTGCCTCTGTCACAGACAAGGAAACCAAGGGCCCTGTGCCAACCTCACAGGTTGGGGGGTGACCAGCAACTCAGGGTCCCAGGGTTAAGAGCCTGCCACAGATGCAGACCAGCGCCCTGTGCCCACAGCTCCGCCTGGCTTCCTCCTCTCCTTGTCCTTCTGAGTGCTTCCCGGGGTCCATGCGGCCTCGCCCTTGCCCTTCTGACATCGTTTCCTCTATCCCCCTTGTCAGACCACTACCACCTCCTCCTCAAACATGGCAGCCACCTCAGGGCCTCTGCGTGAGCTGCATCCCAGCATCACCTCAGCCTCATCGTCACTCAGCTCAGAGATCGCCCGTGAGGCGTCCTAACCAACTCTGCAATCTCCCCCAACTGTGGTCTTCAGGGGACTTTCTCCAGCACTGCCGTCTGACCGCCCCCCTATGTGGCAGGAGGGCCTGCCCCCACTGTGGCAGGAGGGCGAGGGAGCTGGCAGCCCTACTGTCACTGCAGGCACTGTCACTGCAGGCAGACACGATCTGCGTCCATGCAGCCGGCCGGGAGTACTTCAATGCCTCTAGGAGGACCTCGGAGGGCACAGGCTCCAAGGACTCCCTGGGCATGGGGCTGTGTCTGGTGGGGCCCACCATCACCGAGCGCAGGGGCACCCGAACCACTCAGGTGGGAACTCCGCCAGAAGAGAAGCCTCCATTTCCCCCTTTAGTCACAAAACTGGCTCAAGTCAGAGCACCTGGGCCCACAGCCCAGACAGCCTTTGTCTCTGAGCCCCTGGAGCTCAGAGCTCGGCTCCCTCCTGGGCTTGTCTGGAAACTGGCCCTCCAGGCAGCACTTGGGGAAGACAAAGGGCTCTTGTGCAGAGGCCCTGGCGGGTGGTTCCCAGAGCTCTGCCAAGGCCCCCTGGCCCTGTGAGGGCTTGCAGAGCCTCCTCTGTTTCCAGGGCATGTTTGGGCTTGTCTGTGAAAGGGGCCTGGGACAGAGTCCCTGCTTCTCAGCGGAAAAGGGCCCAGGAGGGGCAGGCTGCTGCTCTTACCCTCACATGCCACTAAGGGACAGCGTATTCACCATACCCGCCGTTGTCCCCGAAAGCCTGTAGGTGACTTCAGCATGCTCCCACTCGCCCTTGAAGCCAGGTGGCAAACAAGGGCTCACCAGCTCCTTTCCATCCTTGGCTGAAACAAAAGATCAAAGAGAGGAGAGTGACACATGGCTGCTGTCCCCCAGGGCCTGGGGGGGGCGGAATGTCTGCATGGAGGCACTGCAGCATCAAGGGGACATGCTTCCTTCCACTAGTTAAGATGTGACCTGTGGGGTTGGCAGGTAACTGGGGGAGGCAAAATAGGTGCCAACCTCACCTAACTGGCGGGTGTTCCCTGGGCCCGGAGTGGGGGCTCAGGAGTGCAGGGGGCGGGGGGGGGGGGGGGGGGCCTTTGTGGCCTGACCAGGGCCATCAGAAAAGACAGGCTGACACTAACCCTACCCTAGAAACTGCTAGTGACCCCTATAGTTTCCTCCAGGTCCAAGCGCACTGCCATGAGACCCACTGGGAAGCAGCAAAGGTCTGGGATGAGGTCAGCCTTCCAGTGACCTAGGGCCTGGGGTGAGACTGGCCTTCCAATGACCTAGGGCCTGGGGTGAGTCGAGCTTTCTAATGACCTATTGTGTGGGGCGAGACTAGTCTTCCAATGACCTAGGGCCTGGGGCGAGACAGGCCTTTCAATGACCTAGGGCCTGGGATGAGACCAGCCTTCCGATGACAAGACTGGCCTTCCACTGATCTAGGGCCTGGGACTAGACTGGTCTTCCAATGACCTAGGGCCTGGGAATGAGTCAACTCCAAACATAGGTGGAGACTACAGTTATCTGGGACCCTGAAACCCTCCAGCTTGGTGTTTCGGAGATGATTTCACTAGCATTGCTTTTTAAAAAACCACCCAGTATGTGCACAGGGTAGTGCCCCCCCCACCACAGTGGGGCACAGCGGTGGCACTGCGCCCTGTGGTGTTGGAGGCCAGTGCAGAATCAGGTGTGGTTCCTGGGCCAGACCTGTACACCCCAGGCATGCACCCACAATCCTGATTGGCCGGGAAAGGCCAGAGACAAGAACTGCGACGTCTGTTGAGGATGCTTATTTCTCTTTTTACCTCTCACGAAAGAAAGTAAAAAATGTGAGCAGGTAAACACATGACCCGTGGTCATCATCAGAGTGCCACCAGCAAGGTCTGGGGGACGTGCTTCTACCTGTGCCTGCCTGAGCATGGAGGGCTGGGGCGGTGCGAGCTGGGGCGGTAAGGGAGTGCTGGGGTGGTGAGAACAGGCCCCTTCCCGCTGAGCATGGAGGGCTGGGGCGGTGAGGGAGTGCTGGGG